AGTTGATGCAATGTCATCATATGTGATGAATGAGAATTACTGTGTAAATGTGTACGTAGATGTGTTAGAAAACCAGTAGAAGACACTGAAAATTAATTCCTTTGATCAGGAGCGAAAGATGTGTAGTAATGTATTATGTGAAAAAATATTCAGTAAAACTGTGAAATTAGCCACCTCTGTAAGTTGACATCTTGTGTATCTTGACTGTATGTTTCGGATGTCAAAAGTCTACTTTATTTATACATTACCTACCTTCTACAATTCACAGTGCATCTAATTTCAAATGTTGTCAATAAATTCTTATTAATGCAGTAATTTCTTGCATGAAAAATTTCCTTAACTCGACCACTCTATAGATTACATTGCGACTTTGAAAAACTGCAGGGTTTTTCCTTGTTTCAATACCTAACACTGAGGTTTGTATGCTTCTGTTATTCTATGGGAATTTTTGTGTTTTGGCCGCACTCTAAACTTGCTCAAGTCTACCACAGAAATGTACCATTCATGGGTGTGTAATGTCAGTTTCCTGATGCAGGTCAAGTTTTTATATTTTAGTGAGTTGATGCTAACAAGTATAAAAACGTAAATTTTTAGTATTGAGTAAATTTTAAATAGTCATGTAACGACGTCTGGTGATACGATGATAAAAACCCTGTGTAAAACTATGTTGATGTTTTGTCTTGTGGTAATGAAATGTTTGTAGCCGCTGTGTCAGTACCTTTTCTCTTGCTGATGAGATCGAAACTCATTGTTTCACGTCTACCCATTGTTCCTTGTTTCCTCGCCCTCTTGTTTTGACAAAGGGCCATCATGAAGTAACAGATCAGTAACTTCAACTTTTCTAAGGCACAGTTGTATGTTACATAATGATATCTTCAGCATGTATTTAAAGGGGTCATTTCACAATTTTATTTGAATGAAGTATATAATTGAGTTAAACTTTATAAGGTGATAACATTTTTGGTTATATGATTTTGGTTGAGTCCGAGAATGGAAAGACAAGTGGTACTTCCAAAAATTGTGCTTTGCTTTTTCTGCATGTAACCTAAAAGCTGAGTTTTGAACAAACAGCTCGGAGAATAAAGTAGTCCAGTGTCCTGAATGGAATTACATTAAAAATTGATCTGACTTGAAATTAATAATTCCTATAATTTACTTTTAAATTAACAGCTTGCATAAATTGGCCCTTATATGAGTGGCTTGCCTGAAGTGTATAAATTGAATATATACTGTATCTGTGTCCATATGGTTAAAATTTTAATCTATTTATATTTTTAAAGCTAAAATTGAACCTAATAAATTTTATCATAGATAGCACACTATATAAAAATAAATATGTGACATAAAATATGTAATTGAAATCTAAAATTTTTATTTTAAACAAAACTAATGGGTTTAATTTCTGATTGAATACTTGGAAAAGTAATTAATATCTGACTCTTTGTAGTCTGAACAACTTTACACCAATATATTTTTAGCTACAGCCTAACAGACCAGACTATTAGTGTTCATATTTCTCTGTTTCTGTCAGAGAAAATACGTAAATGCTTACAATATGAAAGCAACAGGGTAACAAAAGTTATTGAAAAATAAATAGTAATTAATACTGATAATTGAAGTTAGTTCTATATAAAATGTATTGAAAGATAATGTGAATCAATTTACATAAATATTAACTAAATATGTAAAATCACAATTTTTGAATGAACCAACAAAAAAATATACAAAAAATTCTATTTAACATTTGAAGGTATTGAAATAAAGCAGCTAAATTTATTTTATGGTTATAGCCTGTTCATTACTTAAATCAGTGATATAATTTAAAGAAGAAAGAAATTTCATTTGTCCTGTTATAAGATTTTCATCGGCAATAAACTAACTTCATTGTATGTAAAATCACAAAGAACACTTTTGGAAAATATATGTAATCCAAATTGCAGCACACAAGTGGCCCCTTTAGGTAGATTCATTCTAAATTAAAACTATAGTAACTTTCATAACAAGCACAAAAGTGTATGGAAGAGATGCATTGCCTCAGGATTTTGAACCGTACATTCTTATACTTGAAAAGTCTGATTTGGAGAGTTTATTTACAAAACCTTAAGAACCATCTAGACTCAGATGTTACAAGTAATAATTGGATTTAGAAGTACTATAATATTTCATTACTTTATATTTTGGGTACTGGATGTGTAGCTTATAACAATTTTTTGTTTCAGAGTCTGAAAATATATGGTTGTCAAAAACCAGTTCTCAACAAGTTGAGGATATTATTTACATTATGAAGCCTTCAAGTGTTCACCAGTTTTGTAACTAAACTCACTGGTTAGTCTTACTCTGAAAAACAGACGTGAATTCTGCTCTGCGTCTTGGCAGCTTGGGTTTAAACAACAGATGGAAAGTAGTTGAAGCAGAAGCAGATATGAAGAACAAAACTGTGTTATTTCTGAACGTAATTTAACAGAGCAGGCTTAAAGCTGTATATTTGCTGCTTTGCTAGTTGGCAACTTTCAGTTTCCAACAGACGATACACCATTATATGCCATTTTTCCACAGTGTCTTGACAATTTTAATTCTGAATATTTTACAACATATTTTGCTCAGTGCACAAGAACAAGAACATGAAACTCTACAATTTCCAAACTAAAGGTTATTTTACACAAATTTTGAACAAATAATTGATCAAATTTGAACAAGGGTAATAAATGTCCTGATATAAAGCACCATCACTGTTTCCATATACAGAATGATCCAAAATGTACCTGCCAACTTTAAACTGGATTTTCTTCTTAATGAGCAACTTTGATCTTAAGAAAATTTGCTGATGTACTGTAGTATATAAACCATTTGTTTATCATTTGTTTTTGTTAAGGTGCCAGGGAAACCCAAAGACTTTGGAGGGGCTAAAATCATCTACTGAGTGTGAAATCTTCACTATTTCAAGTGACGTACTCCAAGGTGCGGTGTCTTACTTTGTGACAAGATTGTAAAAGATCGTTGAAGTTGAGGGAAAACACATTGAACACATCATAATATAAATAGCTTAAGATGCTGATTTGAATGGTATTTGAATGAGATTTTTATGCCCGATTGTTCAGGTGGAATAAAGCAGTAAATATGGTAGGTACATTTTGGGCTACTCTGTATTTGTCTTTACTGTAACGTATTGTAAATCAACATAATAATTTCATCATCACCATAACTTATTGCGGCTGTCTGTGTCATTATACATTTCATTATTCTTGACAGTCCAAGTAATATGTGAACATTATTTTATTTGTTGATGCAGTAACTTCAGAAAATATGCAATTAGGATAGAAGACCTGTTCATAATTCAGGCTTTTTCTGAAAAAAAGCTAATAATTCAATAAAAGTAAGAATGGAGTGAAGTTACGTACTCACACAAGTAATAAGTAAATTAAATTTGCCATGTATTATTATTAACAGTGGTGCAGGTTATATCACGACATTGTTGATTGCTTTCAACATGTCACAATGAAGTGTGAAATTCCATTAATTATAAATAGTGTTTAAGTTAAGCAAATAAAATAAATATTTGTTTTTATATGAACTTGGACCTGAGAATTGCTTCATTAAGTACATGTTTGATCTTCTTTGGTGAATGTACTGTTTAATGTAAGAAAACTGAATCCTGCACAGGAAGTAAAATGGTATACCTGTAATCATAAGTCTGTATTTTTACAAAAGACATCATGCTGTTTTTTTTTTAAAATTAAACTTTTCTTACTGAGGCCAAATTATATTAATGTGATTTTTAATACACTAGCTTTAATTTTGACAGGAAAAATAAATAATATTAAATCCAAATCTATCTAATTTTATTACATTTCTCAAAAATCATTTGGCTTAGTAACAAGTGGTTCAATGTTAATTTATATTTAAATTTAGATTTCGCGCACTTATTTGTATGTACTACACTTTATTTATTTTTTAGTTTTATTGACGTATCATTTATTTTCAAATAGAAAAGTAGAAGATTTGGGAAATGAAAATTAAAAGAGATGTTTTATGTGTGTTTGAATATCTCACTGTGTCATACCCTGTAAGAATCAAAATGGGACCTTAATGTGCAATCCCTTGAAAGTGTTCACTGTTATGATATTACAATTGTTTTAGATAACATAGTGCAGTTCCATCTTCATCATAAATGTTAATTTTAAAAAAAACCCAGACTTCTAACATAGTGGATTCCTATAAGTTGCCAAAACATGTGTATTGGATGCTGTACTGAAAAAAACAAGCACATTATTTGTAAATACAATTGTATATACATTGTGTTAGAGTTTAAAAAATTAGTAAACTTATTAAATAAAAAACACTTTTTATTATAAGAAGGCAATTTACCTTTCCTTATGAATATTTAACAGTCAGATTATACAGTAAAGAATTTATGTACTATAATTTTCAGTATCTTCTTTAACATGTTTTCAACTTTCACAATGCATTGAAATATGGGCGTTGAACTTTGAAAACAGTGAAAACATTTGAAGCAGTGAGACTGTGTTTTCCGAAAGAATAGTACAGTGCAAAGAACCAGGGAAAGATTATGGAATTTATTTCATGTCTGAATGCAAATGCTACCAAGTTATTGGCAGAAAACAGGAGCAGTAGACAGAAGCCTGAGGGCACGAGATAGGGGGAAGGAATATCCTGTCTGACCTTGAATATATCTGTAGTTCATAAATCTTTCTCTGGATGCAAGTCTGCCTCCCATTCAGATGAGTATTGCAGTCCATCCTCAATAGAAGTCTGATAAAGAGCTCACTGGTTTTGTATCATGTTTGATGAAATATCAGTTACATTCAGAAGCTTAATTGGACTGGGAATTTTGATACACTACGTCGCTAATAATGTTCTAGATTTTATGCTGTGGCGCCTGCATTGAAAAAAAAATTCAGTCAGTAGTTTGCTTCATTGGTTATAAGAGCAGTAGTGCTAAAACAATTTTGTGTAATTTCAATAAAGCAGTGCCTAATATGGTTGACTACACTTGAGAATAAGTTCAATGTTGTCATGGAAATGTTCGTGATCCTCTACTGTATCAGGATTTCAAGTTGAAGTACTGTGTGAGGGTGAAGTAGCAGTTAGCCCTGTTACCGACTGAGCTGAAGCGTAATGTTAAACATCTTCTATAAGAGATGGCAGGTACAAGTTCCATGGTTCCATAAGCTAATACAGGAAGAAGAAGAAGAGTGCGCTTCTGTATAGTTTGTTCCGTGAAATTAACCATCTATGGAGTCACCAACATTATTGTATTTTAATTCAATAAACTGACAGTTGTTCCACCTGGCGACAGATACTAAAACCAATCAGTTCTGTGTATGGCTCGATAAGGGTGAGAAGAGAAGTTTGCACAGTAGAACAGGGAGTAATTTATTGTGAATGGTGTGGGATCTTCAGAGAAGTCAGAACTTGGACAGTCTTTTCTAACAGTGCTGCGTATTTATAATATGTGTGAGTACCAATCTTTATATCCACTGATAATTATTTGGAATTGTACGGTAATATGAAAAGCAGCTTTAATTTTATTCTCACCCCCCTCCTGTCTGTGACCTTGGCATTACTTTGCATTGCTTATAATAACATAAGAATTATGTAATGAATTAAACGTTCCCCCAGACTATCAGAAATGGTAGCTTCTACTTCATTATGACTGACAGGATTTTAGTTGGAAAGCTAAGAGGTATTGTAGCATTACAATAATACGAAGATTGAGAGGGGAAGAAATTAACATTTTAAAAAAAATAATGGCCGTATGGGTAACCGGTTTTTTGTTATTGATAGTTTAGTAAATATGAGGTGTGGTTTGATGCATAAAAATTTAATTTGTTTTAATCGTTGTTAATATGCCGTTTTAAACAGACGTAGCAAACAACAAACCAAGTATGGGGTTTCTGGAATGGTTTTCTGTTAATCGATACATCACAAAGTTTCACATTAATTTTGATGTAGAGGATATTTAATTATTTTTCTGAGTTCATCATAATTCAGTGGATTTTACTGTCTGGAATGTAATAGGTATGGCTATAATATTTATACTAAAATTATTTGAAAATAATGTATTGGTTTGTGGATTTTTGCCACATATTTAACATGCTACTTTTGTATTTTAGTGTAACTTTACAATATGGTGTCTAGTTAGTTAGCTATGGTAAGTTTAATTAAAAGTATTTGGGTTAGTAAACTTAAGTAAAACACAAATTCATTGATAGGTTAAGGGGCTTGGGTAGATTGGAATTGTGTTAACATTCTTGATATTTCATTTATTTCTACTAGGATTGGATATTTGTTGGAATGATCTTTTCCTTTTATGTTTACATGTGTTCTGAAATACATAATATGCAATAGGAAAATATATCCTCTTATTTTTCTTGTATTTTGTGCAACTTTGCTCTCATATTTACATTCTGGCAGTTCAGAGACTTAAGTATTCAGTGTGCTATGCCAGACAGGGAAGTTTCTTCATGAGATGTTTGTTGTATGTTTTCACATTCTTCTAGTTTGTTTCAGAGGAATGTGTAGAGAATTTTTTGGGGTTAATTTACAATTTAATGGCTTTCTGTTTGTTAGACCTTCAATTGTTTTAGAATGCTGTATCAACTTCAAAGGTTATAATGAACCTTATTTAATTTTACATTATTTTATGAGCTGTTGTTTGCTTTTGATAGGAGGAGGGGTTATTAGGAAATCCAAGTAATTAAGCCAATTATAAAATTTTATGTAGATGAGTAAATGGCTATGGTGAAAAGTGGTTTGGTGACGGACAAAATTGACATTAATAGAATCCCAAAACCCAATCTTAAGTGGGGATATCGAGATATATGAAGGGCAGGAAAACTATGAATAGGCTTGAGTCTGATGTATGCATGGTAAAAGAATAAATATTTTTCTGTACTATTCCAAAGTGTAATTAAGATTATATTTGATGTTATCACTATGGTGAAGACGACGTTGTGACGCCATGTGGCCTCATAAATATATACGTACTGGATCTTCAACCTTGAAGATGGTGACAGTATGTTTCTTTGAAACATGATATCTATTTACAAGTCACAACCCAGTACAACAATTAAGGAGTTTGTGACTGATTGTGCTTGTGGTATTAAAATTAATTTAATGAAATAACTGAAGTTGTGATGTTAATTGGATTGCATCGACTCAAAAGTATCAGCTGAAGAATGAATTTTATTTCAGTAATAATTAACTTCTGGTTTTAATATCAGAGAATTGGGAAGATTTCATATAACACGTTTGATGCATGGCCCTTTGAAGCCTAGTGGTAACTATATGTACCAACAACTTTAACAACTTGTAACCGTGTAATGGGCCTATAAAATGTATTTACAGGTTTCCTATAATTCTTAGAATAAACAGCTTTTACCTTAGATTCCGGTTAATTGGGACAAATATTGAAGAACGAACCTTTTTAATTCTTTACGTGGAACTTCGCGTAATTCGAGCAGCTGCTTAATTGGGCCAAAGTGTTCGAGTCCCGACGTGTCCCAATTGACTGGAATCCACTTTATTACCCTAAACAACATTAACGAGTTTTATTTTTGTAATGGAAAAGTGTTGTGTTTTGTCTGTTATAGGAACTGGAATTTTAAATGTTATTTAGACGGCTTCAAAGGGTATATATGAAAAACTGAAGTTTCGTTGTCTGGTCTTAATATTTCGTTCGAAACTTTTACTCAAAAACTATATATTAAAATAGTATTTTTCATCCCATTACACAGTGTGCAGTAATTAGAGTAATTTCCTCTACTAAAATGGTGATGATTTTTTAACGATATTTGATCATAGACAGACACACGAAAAGCCTGTCAGCATTGCATTTGGTTTGTATTGAATCAGAATATTGAAGGCTGCCATCTTATTTTGATCTCATCTTCTGGATGGATCAACATTTTATAAACCTAAGTAGTACCTCTGGTATGTGGAAGAATTTGGCAAACGTTGATATGGTAATATTACGAGTCATCATTCCTCGTAATTTATTAATAGCTGTCTCGGGAAGATGCATTGTCACCTGTACACGTCATAATACGACTTATTTAATTATCTGATGCAAATGGTGTAATCCTATTGTTAAGGAATGTACTTTGTAAGTTTTCCTTTCTTTCGTGCTTTACCCACGTATGTGATCCCATTTATATTCAACTGTTTTTTTTGGTTTCATCCTTTGCATTTGCTTTCGGGAGCAGAACTGGACAAGGAACCAACTGTGACGTTTAGTGGCAAGGTTAATTTATTAATCTTTATAAGGTAGTATATTTGCGTCATATTGTGAATTAGGTAAAGACAAAACTTGTTCCTACAGAGACCTCACGGAAACGATCGGGTACAGGGATGTCCAAAAAATAAATAACGGCGTGTCATACAAAAATTGAAAACACAAATGAGATGCTCTCTTTCGAAAATTAGACACAGGGTTGTCCAAAACGCTATATACAACGGCAGGCTTCTCCCAAATGGTTCGCAGTATAAACAATGGTAAACAGAAACGGCGTTCCTCTTGGAGAGATAAAACAGGAAAAATAACTGTTCCCTGTTTCGAATATTCTAAAATCACAGGGATGTACAAAATACTAATACAACGATAAGTCATAGAAAAATTGTAAATACAAAAATATATATATATTACGCTTGGTGAGACAAACGCAGGGAAATCGAAACATGTCGTAAGAGACGTTCCAATTTGTAAATCGATCATTCGATGCGGAACGTGAAATGATATTTTAAATATTTTATATTTTATTATCTTATTAAAATTGTGATTTGACGGAAAACATTAAAATATTATTAATCTTTGTTAATCACTGATCTTATTTCTTCTGCGGTTAATATAGATCATTCAGAGGGTACAGATACAAATTTAGTGATCGCCATGTTGTTATTTTACATTTAACTAAAACCGAGCTGAGAGTTTCGTTTGTTTTGATAAGCGAACGCCACGGTCGGCTTGTCGGAATCAGAAAGTTTTTTTTTCATCGAACTTTTAAATTTATCGGGAAATCTGAACTATATGTATTTTACAAAGCGCCGTTTCGTAAATTTTAGTCGTTTGAAATTAACATTTTTTTTTACAACGCTGGAAATATATTTAAAACAGTCTCTAATTCTCCAAGGTTTTGGACACCCCCTGTGCAAAGTTTTCGAAACAAATCAATAATTTCCCTGCGTTTGTCTCACCAAGCGTAATATATATATATTTTTGTATTTACAATTTTTCTATGACTTATCGTTGTATTAGTATTTTGTACATCCCTGTGATTTTAGAATATTCGAAACAGGGAACAGTTATTTTTCCTGTTTTATCTCTCCAAGAGGA